GGTGGGATGGGTGGGTAACAGGACCCCCGTTGATACCAGTGTTTACTATACTGAAGGGGCTATCCTGTATAAATATAGATGTCTACCCTAAAGATGCAATAACATTCTCATTCAACCTTGAAAACATTTTTTTTTGCTTTTTGACATATATTTCAAAATTAATCCTGTGATCTTTCAACTTACCAATAGCATAAAAAGGATTGGCAGATCCATAAGACGAAGAGATTGCTATGACAAAGAAAAAAACAAGAGCTGATATAAGTGCTGAAGTGCCCTTCCAATAGGCTTCAATTAATAATTTCTTAGATTCTCACAATATCTTTCCTTGATAATGTGTTGATAGTTCAAGGAGAAATTGCATATTGATCATTATTGATGGGGTCAATCAGGTCACAACATATGAAGGTAATTTTGGTTTCATCAACTGAGTTGATTATGTATATTGGCCACCAAAGAGTTTCAAACCTGGTTATGCAGGATCTAAATTTCAATGCATTTCTATATTTTACATTATTTGCATCAGGCAATCTCTGCATTTTGCATAAAGGCTGATAGTTTCTAAAGAAACTGTTTGGGGCTGCGTCGGTGGGGGTAACGAAATAATTTGAATATATCAACAAACTTGAAATGGTAAATTGGCCATCGTTATGATTATAAAAACTGACGTTTCAAGCGTTAGCCCTTCGTCTGAGGGAATAGGGGCTAACGATATGAAGGTAGCCCTTCACTCCGACGAAGGGCTGATGCTCAAAACATCAGTTTTTATAATCATAACGGTGGCCAATTTACTATTTCAAATATATTCAAATTAACTGCATTTTGCACATACCTCTCTATTGATATTCCTTGGATCAGTCTAAAAATTAATTTGAAAACCGTTATTAATATTCATCAAAACAATAAGAGGTATTAAGGGCCTATCCACACTAGCGAAAAAAATGTTAGCCTGGTTAGCCCAATGGATATTGTACTGGACTGTTGTGCGGGATGTCGGGGTCGAGGGTTCGAGCCCCGGCCGGACCAACACTCAAGGTCTTAAAATAATTGAGAAGAATTTGCTACTTTTCTATAACATCAAGAAATGATTAGATATTCAAGTCTTCTCGGATAGGGACGAATAAATGGAGGTCCCGTCTCCTGCAGGGTTGGGATAGGAGACGTTAATTTCCCACACACGAGATTACTGTGATGGATGTCCTCCCCTGGGTGGGATGGGTGGGTTTACTGGGCCCGCAGTAATTGGCAGATGCTGTTGCGGTGTCTCTGCCTGTCGGCGAATCTTGTAGATTAGATCAGATTAGAAAAATTTACTGTCATCACCAACACTTTACAAGTGCGGATGGTTTGTCGCAACTTAAAGTGCCCATAATGTCAAAAAATCTTTTTCACTCATCTAATTCTACATTTCACCAAATGAACTTCTGCAAAAAAAATTTTCAATTTGGTTAAAACGCAATTTTTTTAAATTTTTTAAAGACATTCAAATTTGCTGCCATTTTGGTCCACCCTGCGCACCAGTCTTCCTTGCTTTAAAGTGAGTCATGACGTAGGTTCAGGAACACGTGATATTTGGTTGTGACTTATCTGAGTTGAAAACAAGTGGGAATTTGCTTCAGAGTGGTCACAATATCGTAAGCTCACAATATCATAAACTCACAATATCATAAACAACCTGCACTCGACCAGGGTATTTATATGCACTTTAAGGTCAACTGAGATTCCTGAACCTACGTCACAGACATCAGTCACGTGGTCATTTTGAGCACGTTATTCTTGTGATCAGCGGAAGGGGTCGACTGCAAGAAAAAGAATTTGAACTTTGTGAAAATTCGTACAAAAAAACGCGTTTTATCCAAATCGCAAAAAATTTTCACCGAAGTTCATTTGGTGAAATGTAGAATTAGATGAGCGAAAAACTTTTTTTGACATTATGGGCACTTTAACAAATTTTGGTCGAAGAGGACAAATTTTCAAACGCAACTCTAACAAAATTTTTCTCGGGTAAATCCTTGGGGAAATCAACTAAATAAACAAAACCGTGACAAACTTGTCGATCATTTGTCGTAAACGCTAACAGAAGTGTGGTAATTGAACTGAGTTCAGTGATGAATCCTGGTAACTGGAGTTTAAATCAAGCAGGTTATTCGGCGCTGGAATGTCCCACCTTGTGGCAACAAAGGGTGCAATTATAGTATCGGTGTTACTTTTGGCTGTTGATCGAATTTGATAACTTTGACAGCTTTGAAAGTTTCATTTTACTCCGGATGCAACAGAGGAGACAAAAAGTTGTCCTGACAAAATTTGTCCTTTGATGTCCAATGTTTTCATGCTCGACAAAACTTACATTATCACAAAGCGATCAAATAACGCCTGAAATGAGAATTGTTAAGAAGTGTTTTAAACTATGTATTTATCATAATTTGTCGGGTCAGATCAAACCCAAAAGAATGATCGTGATCAATCCCAAATATGCTTCGAGTACAATCTCCATGGCCAAATGCGCAGTTTCCTGGTGACAAGAAATTAAATCTATCCAAGAGAAATCAAGAGAATCTCAAAGCCTTTTTACCTCAAACAGTCCTTTAGGCAAATCATTCAACGTAGCTGCATCGCCATAGGCATCGAAGTAAGGTGGATTCCGTATGAATTCAACAATTCCTGCCCACAAAAATCCCATTGCTATTACAAAATGGACAACTTGAAGCCCATCAAAGAAATAGTCTTTGCAAGTTTTTCTCCCTCTTGGGTTTGTTGCTAAAATCGGAGGCATCTTAGAGCCTGAACTTGACGTTTACAATTATTGCTCCGAAGTTGATTGCGCCTTCCCTCACTAAGATCACACACACAGTGAGTATACCATGATATTGTAAACTGACTATGACTGTACGGGAAATCTGGGGACGAAAGCTAAAGTAACGCTGTACATGCGTGACGAGTTTCCCGGAACAAATTATCAAGCGTCCAAAACACCTGAGACAAAACGTTGGCCATTTGGGTGATTTCTTGCTATTTCTCGTCGTTTTAGGGAACCTTTGAGCTTTTCTACTCTACGAAATTTGTAAAAGAAAACCAAAATTTGCGAGCTGGCTTCACTAAAAGTGCATCAGTCGGCTGTATAGAGCTGTAAGCAGAACGAGTCTTCCTGTTAAAGCGACAGTGAATAAAAAACATCAGCTCTTTGTTCGTGCACAAAATGTGTCGAAGCCGACTTCAGTTGACGCTTGCGATTCTAAAACCAGACCTAATGATGCACCCAGTGAGAACTAAGGTAGGTGAAAGGCCTCGAAAGTTTGATGTCGATATTTGCTTCGTTTGGATATACTTGGATGGTCCCGGGAAGAAACTACACAGGTTCAGGGTAATCCAATCGTAGATCAGAGAGACAACGGCCACCCAGAACAAGTGGAAAATATATAGAAAGCTAAAAACCGTCGAGCCCAGCTAAAAGGATGAACATTCACGTTAGACAATATTCAGGTTGATCAGATCCACACGAGGTTGTTCAAGGTTGTAAAATAGGGAACTGACTGGATTTTAAATTTGTCCAGGAACAAAGAACAGATGTGTTCACGAAACCAAAGAGGTGCTAGACTGGGTGTACATTTGTTTTCAGATTCCAATGTAATTCCAAGTACATTTTTAGAACTCGAAACTCAAAAGATTCAGTGGTTTTGGATGTAGAATAGTTGAACCAAAGCATGTTTATTGTTAGGTAAATAGCATTTGAAATATATTGGTAGTGTAACACTCAACTCCTAATTTAATATAAGTAATGATATTCTGCATTTCCATATTCTGACATATGCATCAATAACTTCAAAGCTTCAACATTCCCCTCCCAACAAAATCAGGCAACCATGACTTTCTGTGCATTGACCAAGCTTTAAACCCAGACCTTATAGACCTTTCTTTCAGAGCAGTTTGTTGTATCTTAGGAAATTCAAGGACGAAATTATAAACAAACCAGCAATGAACATGAACATTCCAAGATTCCTTTTATTCCTGTTCTTTCCTGCGTAGGGGCATCCATGTACACGTAACACAACTATGACCTAACTTAATATAATGTAACACAAGTATACCAATACAAGGTCACGATATAACACAGTTGACCACCAAAAGTGAACTATTTGCCTTAAAACACCTCCATATTTAAAGATTTAACACCTGTGTTCCACTGGAAAAACTCGACACCTCTGGTTCAGCCAGGCAAGGTTCAAATTCTCCACCTCCTTGGCACAGATGACATTCATTATGGAATGTTAGCTATTTTGTTTTTAACATCCATGACAGGAGGTAAAGAACATCATAAAGGACAATGGATTTCTTGTAATCCAAACTAAAGTTACCTCTTTCAGTCTTCAAGATGCAGAGAAATTTTATGAGGAGCACAGGGGTGAGTTTTTCTAATGTTCGTAATTTAGAAGGGACACTACCATCCCTATGTTGAATTTATTTTCACTAGGATTAGGTTAAGAACACACTCGGGAGGTGTAGGGTATGTAATCCAAAGTTGTTTTGAGGTAAGTGTTTTACAGTGATAAGTTTAGGTTGAAGACATCAGTAGAAAATTTCTGTGGACATATCATGAAGATTTTGGGATAGCATTGCATGACATCCCACAGAACTGCTACAAAGAAGCCTAGCCTGATGAGTACATTTACCAGGAGATTAATTTGTAACTCTTGGACAAATAGACATTGTGATATTATTGATATTTTTGGTTCCCTTTCCAAGTTTAGGTAATTGGTTAAAGGAAGTTTTGTGAGAGAAGTTTTAAGAGGTGTTCATAAACCAAATGAAATAAGATAGTTGTTTTGTTTTTTTAGCAGAGCGGTTTTTCTTCAGTAGGTTAACTGGATATATGAGCAGGTAATTGGTATTAACTTTAAGTAAGGTACCTATTCAACAGAGTCCTTCCTCATATTAAAGAAATTGAAGCCTGTGTGAACCTTTGACTTCTTTTTCTTGGAAAAAATTATAAGTCCTATGCCCAAACTTTTTTCAATGCAAAATATTTTTATAAGAATTCCTTATGCAAGAATATAAGGACAAGTCTCATTTGAGGTTGAAATTGATATTTTTACCCTTTAGAATTGATTAACATATAACTTCTCCTTACAATATCAATACATTTTCCATTAAAAGGGAGATCAGCATAGGGACTTTCATCCTCAACTGATATAGAACCAAATTCTTTCAACATTTTACCAGGAAATGTGTAGGGACTAGAGGGGAGAATTGATTAAGAGAACATGAAAGTCAAAGTGTTGATAACAAAAAAAGAAAATCACTGCTCTAGTAAAATGTTCCAAATGTAGACCTTTCTCTCCCCAATACAGCAAAATATACCAACTGACAATGACATTGATTTACTCTGAGTTTGTACATCCTAAATACTGAATAAGAAGGATGGCAAATTCTTTTTAGTAATGACTTAGCTCATTATTGAGTCATTTGTTGCTCATCAATTTCAGACCATCAGAGAAAATGTTAATTTTTGATTCCTCGTAAAGGACTTAAGATTTTTACTGTTGGGGCGTCCTACCCCCCTGTTATGAAACAAATTATATCTTTCTTTGACTCTCCCTCAAAACGTGAAAAAGGTGTCGGAGGTTTTCTTCTGTTGTTTCAGGATAATTTGAAACTGAAGTTATGCATCAAAACAAACCATTTGTCATTGTTGAGAAGTTTCTCCTTGTTTCCCCAGTGGCCCAATTACAGCCATGATTCTTGCTAAAGCGAACGGTATTGCACACTGGCGGGAACTGATGGGACCCACAAAGACCTATAGGTATCAAAGGAATTACGACGTTTTTGTTGCATCGTGAAACTGACGCGAGATTTGCACGCCGCAAACACCGCTGAAATACTATAGCCTGCATTTCAAGGGGGCAGTCCTTCCGTTTTTACGGTCCGTAAATGGGGGCGCAACGATCCTGTGAGCACTTACACACGTTACTATATCCAGAAATCAAATATCGTATTTAGTCGAGTAAGCCGCACCCAGCCTCGTGTAAGTGCCTACCCTGTAGGAAAGAAAGTTGATAAGCGCCCAGTCTCAAAGAAGTGCCCACTCTGATCTCATAGTCCATAAATTTTAAAAGCGCCCAGAGCGCTTTATCAAATATTAAAGTACAAATCATATAACTGCAACACTCGAATAACTACAGTACTCGAATGACTACAAATCAAATAACTGCAGTAACTAGTTTAATACTTTGCAGAACAGAATATCTAGATGTAACATGTTGTCTGGCGGGATGGGTTTTGACAAGCTTCTTGTTCTCGTTTGGCCCTATCTAAATATTCTAACTAAACTTTTCCTTGTCTTCAGAGCAAGAGATATCGCTCCAACAAGTATCCGAGCTTTATACGGAATAAGCGACACTAGAAATGCTACCCACGGCTCAGGTAAATTTCCGTTTCTTGTACTGAGGACAAACGGAAAGATCTTTTGTGGAAAAAGTTATTTCAACTCCTAAGGGCACTTTTTGGAAGAATGCCTCCGAGATATGCTTATGCTCTTTGAGGAGATTATTTATGCAATGATTTCTTTGAACTGTCGCCTTGCTATAGGGCAAGTTGCTTGAGCGATACGTTACCCTGTGAAAAAACCTCCGAGGGCGTGGTTAAGGTGTAAAGATCGGGTGCTGGGGTGTTTTTAACTGAAAGCCGTCACAGCCGCCGGTCAGATAAAAAAAAAAAATCGCGAGGAACCAACCAAAACTCAAAGTAAAATAAAGCAGGCAGCTGTTTGACGTTGTAAGGTTGCATCTGATTGGATGAGAGTGGTGCGAGTTTTCTAGAAAAATAGGCCCTTTGCAGCTGGGAGGTCACGTGCCTAGCAACGCCAAATTGGAGAGCAAGCACTTCTGCAAAGACAAATCGAATGAGTCTCTTGAGCATCACGGGTTTGTATATCTGAAAAGCGGTTATTTTGAATTGAAGCGGGCCCCCTTCCCGATTTTTTTAAAGGCATGGGGCGGCTGTACATAGGCTATCGTGATTGACCTTCACAAACCTAAATAATGGCTTTCTCGTAGACTCCGATGAGTCCGCTAAAAGAGAAATCGGCTTCTTCTTCCCCCACTTTGACAGCGAAAGCTGGTTTGAAACACACGAGCCATTTTACCGCGAGAACAGACATTCACTGGCTTGGGATAACGAACGAGAGATTCATTACGTACCCTAACGAACAACTCTAATGGCAAAGGAAAAGAAAAGACGCGAACTGAGATTACAGTATTGGCGGGGAAAAAGAATTACAAAAAATGGAAGAAAGAAACTCTGAGCTGGAGATTTCCTGAAAGTATGACATATCAGTGAGGTGCACGAGAAAGGCGTCACAAGATGGCAGAACTTCACAAACCGGCACGTGCATTATCGTCCACTTCGTTTTTAGTTCAGATATTTATTTCACGAGTATTTATTTGCACGTACAAACTCAAGCCAAAGCTCGAGTGGAGAGTAATAATGTCCTTTTCAGTAGTCATTTATCATCAATCATTTGAAACCTTGAAGAAAAGAGGGTGTACCTGTAACGTGTGTGTGTGTCTGGAAGTTGCTTAGCAACTATAATTACATCACTAGGCCAGGTCTCGCTTTTAGCAAAAACCGCGTGACACGAAAAGAGAACTGTGTGAAGCTATTATTTCCCAATCGGAATTTTTACGCATAATAAGAGTTATTTTCTTCGTAACTACGAACGAATAATGTGCTCGTCAAAAACCTAAGGCGAGTTTACCCTTTACTCCCTAACATCAGTATGCATATTCTCCATACTGTTTTCTCTACAACTCCCAGAGTGTGAACAAGGAGAATTTCTTTATCAATCAAGAGTTTCTGTAGTTGTTGATCAATTTCATTATTCTCATGACCGTAATGTGTGGTTCAGGGGTGATATTGTAAGGAGAAATTAGATGCTGGTCACTCTAAAGTGTGAAAAGGTTAAGGGTATGAATTCGTCCAATCCTCGCGCATCTCTGGCCCATTTACCCTCAAATTTCCATGATATGATTCCCAATTCTCCCTTCCAGCTATCACGAGTTTCCTTGTAAATTAGTTCTGAGAGTTTGTTAGTAAATCTATATAACAACCTTGAGCTTCCCAGATTATCTCTTGTCATAACCTGTTTTCTAAATAATGAACGGTTATTTTAAGGAGAATTTCTTACCACTTCCGGAAATCAAAATGTCTTAAATAATCCTCGAATATTTCTTCCTATTAAGCCTTGCTTCAGAGGCCGAAATATTGTGGCCTTACAGTTTGCACACCGAGCTCCGGATTGCAGGGTGTGGGCGGGTGTCATCTCATTGTATCTTGTTGATAGGGAGACACAGGTTCCACGGTCTCTCTCTCTCTCTCTCTCTCTCTCTCTCTCTCTCTCTCTCTCTCTCTCTCTCTCTCTCTCCACTCCAGAGTGCAGCTTGTTACCCGCAAACAGAGAAACCCAACTGAATGTTGGTGTGTTAGCCGCGAAGGATCGGCACCTTATGCTCGCGTGACAGGTGTAACCATAGTTGCCTGCTGCTACAAAACCAAGATCATCTCGGTAATCTGACAGCACTACGAGCCACTCTCTTTTGAGACTTATTAGTCTTTATCTTTTAACTCATGATCATTTGAAATGGGTGCTCTCATATTTCACCCGTACTTGATATTCCGCCAGAACCTTTAAGAAAGCGCAAAACAGATAACCTGCTGAGTCTAGTCAAACTATCAATACCTCAGAACTTTTGGTTATTCCGAGGCCCCCGCCGATCCCGACCCTGTTTAAGAAAAATCCGTCCATCCCGCGACCCTGTTTAAGACACCCACCTAAGGCCTAAGGCATGTCGACCACAGGAAGTCACGTCTAGCTTAATTTTTTAATTAGATTTTGAAAACATAATTGGTATCATGCATGAAGAGCGCGCACCATCAAAATCACGCGCCGATCAAGGCTATCGCAGTCGAAAAGCTGCCTGGTGAGACACTGAAAAGTGAAACTGCATACCTTCCTACGACTTAAGACCCCGAAACCCTACTTTTTTTTGGCGTTACACACCTGTTTAGGTTCAATCTGGGAAAGCGCTTTTCTCCTTACCTCTCCCCTGCCCGGATCAAAATTGCTTTTCCAATGCAAGACTGTAAGAATGTCACTGGATTTTGACCTAGTGCCCTGGTAAGTTGACTACAAGGCTCTTCTTAGGTAAAAAGAATTCCATGCTTTTGCTATCGTTATACCACATCCGGTTCACCAGTTGTGTAGGTTTCCTGTCGTACTTATCCAAAAAGTAATTTTTTTTTTCTAATCACCCTGTCACATGCTGATACCAAGCTAAGACACACGTGTGCCTTTCGTGTAGTATATTTCAATATTTTGTTCACAAACAGTAAGGTGTGTTCGAGAAAAGCCCGTGTTCAGTTTTGCGGAGCACGGCCAAGGTGAGCAAGTTGTGAGCCTTGTAGAAGTTTGGAAAAGCGCTTGTTTAGGCTCGACCCGACAAACTGGACATTTGATCATCATATTGCAGTCGACAACAAGTAAAGCCTTGTTATGATAGTAACAATAAAACTGTGTTGGACAGACAGCCATTTTCGTCCAAGTGTGACGTCAGTGAAACTTTCAACGAGCTATAGCTTTCTTGTTCCAAGAGGAAGAAGAAAGCCCGTGGTACGTTGAACGACATCACTTCTGGCTCGATTACTGTTCCTTTTCTGCTCTCTAATTCACTTCTTTTCTCAATATCTTGTTTATTTTTGGTTGTGATGACGTTATCGTCATAACATGATATTAGCCTGCGTGTCGGCTTTCTTCGTTCTCGACAGGCAAAGCAAGAGAACATGACGAGTTAAGTAGGATTGAAAGGTGACTCCTCTACCGATCTGCGTGTGGCATAAGCTCAAGTTCTCCGCGCACGCAGATGGAATCTCACGCGGTATAAACGCGATTAGTCGCGTTTGAAATCACAGCTGAAACCTCTCGTGTTTGAACGTTAAACTCGGTCGCATAGTTACCTGATGTGGTTGGGAATGTTTGTAACAAAAATTTTCGTTGAGCAAGGCTCCCCACAATTTGGATTTTTTCCCAGCGTCAAAATCACGCTACGTAAGGTCGGCATTCTCTTACATAATTGCTACAAGTATCTTTGGAGTGTCTGTCCGACCTCGCGGTCACTTGTTCAAATCATGTGGAGGGAGGACGGGGTATGCTATTTTCTCAACGTTTTCGTTTTATACATTATTTCAACGTGCTGACTGGTATTTTTGTTTTATAGAAAATTAGTTTTGAGTGTAATAGAAAAACAAATCATATTCAGCTAAGTTTTGGTTCGAGACAATACGTTCCCATCCCCCCTCTCCTACACGCGCACGGCACGCGAGGTCACAAATGACATCGGATGCGGCCGGCCAAGTATAGTTCGTGGGCGTTTTAACTTATACGAGCCAGCTTAATCGTGTTTAATTTACAAGGCATTTCAATTCGCCTGAAAGACCGTTTGTTGTGTTGACCTATATAGCTGCATTCCTCCTAGAATTTCTTCTATTTTCGCCGTTTTTTATGAGAACTTGAATGATTTGGATCCACACGAAGCTATCCAAAATTATTTGGAGCGAAAATAGAACCTGCTGTTTAGACAACAAAGTCCGGGTGAAACATTGTAAACGGCCCGCGTGATATTTTTTTTTTATGTAAGCTCGTGTTTTCAAAACAATCCCGATATTCTGCAGATAACATTACTATGAAATTACGTGTCTTTTTTTGATCCGGCCAGATGTAGAATCGAAGCAACCGCAAACTTGTCTCGATTTAAAGAAAAACTGCGGTTTCGTAAGACCTGTTGATGTCTTTTTTAAAGCTTAAAGGTTGATTAAAGACCTCCTCGAAGTGCAGCTCGTATTTTTATATTCGACGAAGAACAACAACAGCTAATACAGTTAATACAGTGACCTAGCTAGAGCTTGGTATGAAGGAAATTTGGAGAATTTCTAACCATGTTAATAATGACCGAGGTTATTTTCAGCATAAATTTAGAGAATATTGTGAATGTTTTCTTCAAGTTCATACTAGGTTTTACAGGCCAATTATCAAGTTTCATTTCTAGATGAACTTTATCATGTCTTAAAGTTATCTTTTATCAGTAAACGGTTTTCTTCCCAGATCACAATTAGAATGAACTAACTCATGGTTACAATAGCTTTTGAGCGACAAATTTTCCCCCGAAAGATCGATTTTCGTCTTTAATAAACCACGTTAGGCGACTGCGTGATGTCGCGCCGAGGTTTTCATTGCATTGGACATTTCTCCTCGGACTGCCTAAGATCTGTCAAATGCGGGGCTTACTAAATCATTTGCCTAGTAAAGCTGATCTGATTCAACCTCGTCCGTGAATTTTCAAAGCGTTTGACAGATCTTTATTTTCTCAAATCACATACTTACAACAAATGTTGTTTGCTTGGTGGGTTCAACGCTGTTAATGGCTTTGTCAGGAAAGGCTGAATTCTCGTCGAGATATCCCAGGCTGATATTTCATGCTTTTTAAGCAGATTAGGCTGAAAAGTTGGGAAATCACTAAGATACCAAAGTTTTCTGATTTCAAGCTCGCAATTACAACTATCAATTATTGGAGTTTGACATGAAGGTATTGCCTCGGGCATGATGTCTCTGTTTTCAATCTTGAGTCGAAAAATTTAGCACAGTTGGTAAAATTGAAAAAAAGCGAAACCTTGGTACAAGTTAAAGACGTTCGAAATTATGCGCATAGTTGCGACCATCCTTTGAAAAAGCTACATCAAAAAGCAACAGAGCAACAGTCGACGTTACCAAAACACGAGTTCAATTGGACGATTGATGAGCACATTAAGGGAAGATCACGATCTCCACATTAGTAAGATTGTCTTCAAAGGCTGAAAAATTATTTCCACAGAAACTGTTTCCCTCAAGGACGGTGTGCGCAATTTGAGTTAAAACTTAACGAATTTAGAGTTATAAGTATCTTGGTAAGCTCACGGAAGTTCCATATTTAGACTTCTCCTTGCTACAGTATAATTTTTCAACAACAGCTCCGCGAATATCCATGACAAATCTTGAAAATCGGTTACAGTGCGTAACGTATTTTATTTTATCTATCGCACTTTTAACTTAACAAACTGGGTTTTATCCTGCATTTAAGCAGTACAAGAAACGAGGGACCGTATCTAGTACTCAGACTCATTTTGTATTTGGTTAAAACCTAATTTGAAGATCGAGACTTTCAAAAAGTATAAATTTAGCTTGTGAAACAAAAAGCATTTTCCTTGTTTGTTCCGGCGTGGTTCTTTCAAGTCCTATTTTTTTCAGTCTCTTTCTTTTTTTTTACGGAAAAGGACATATGCTCTCTCTGACTTTAAACAGAATTTTAAAAAGCTAATATTGTCGCAATGGTTAACCCAATTTAGTTTCCAAAAACCAACAGGAAAGTTTGTTGTGAAATGATTTGTAAATTAGAATGTCTCCAGGGCGCAGGAGATTGAGATTTGTTCAAAATCTTCAGCAGAGCTTTCACCGAAAAAGCAAGAAAATTTTCGTTAATAACTTTTTATCAGAAGTCATGTTATGCATACAATTACCAACAAGGTTGAAAACGGAACAAGGAAGATTTTGTCCAGTGTCATGTGGTGTTTCAATTTTTTCCTTTGATACGAACTATGACAACGAGAAGACACAAGCATAATTGCTATTGATTTAGTTAAAGCAATTTTTCACGTTGTTTTCCCTCTCGTAGGGTTCTGAAAGTTTGTCAAATGCTCTTTCAGACTTTTAGTTTAAGCAGCTGCGAAAGGGTTTATCGATTGAGAAATACGATTATTTACACTTCTGAGAATTAACTTTTAGGGCCAATTTAAGAGGAATTTATGTAAAATATAACAATATTGAGCCGTGATTCTGTTCTTATTACGGAACGTGACAAGAAGCATTTATTTTGAATTTAGACTATCATAACAATTCATGATATAGAAACATGAATACTGCAACTACCGGTTTGAAAATAACTCACTTTTTAGTCTTCGCCTCGGGCGCGCTTTCAGTCAGCTTCAGTTTGTTTCTAAGCCTTTCAGTTTTGCAATATTTAACGTATGGATGCCAAAAAGCAGCAATTTACCTTGCAAGTTTGGAGCCTTTTTGTGAACACGCTCGCATTTGCTGGTAAGCTGACAAATTGAAATGTTATTTGCATATGTCAACTTTATTGTTTTTAATTAGACAAGACAATACTCTTTTCTAACCGTATATTGATTTGAATTTGGTATTTTCAAGTTTTCTAGTTGTTAAATTTTAGCTTTTTAATTCTACTTTGTCGCAAATGAGAGAAACTTTTTAATCAGATATTTTTGTATTTCTTCCTAGGAAGTTCTTGAGATACACGCTTGAGCCTATATTACTCTCAAGAAAAATTTGACAAACGAAATGACAGCCTGTGTGAGTTGAGAGTTCGGGTGAAATCAGTGAACGTTTACATTTACACACGAATTTTTGAAACTAGTCAGTTGGTCGCTTGCTCAACTATGAACCAACGTCATTGTGCAAAAGTAATGTAAAGGGAAAAAAAAACAGTATTTCAAAATATGACGAGTCTTCCCTCCGAGATCAATGTTGGCTGTCAAAATTGAGTCGTGTGGCAAACCCATGCGTTTAGCTTCACGGGTTGAACTCGAACTTATAAAACACGTCAAGAAAAAAACGTGTTTTAAAGCGTCAGCTGGATGGAACTATAACATAAATTTCTTAAGTAACTGAGTAATAAAAATCGAAACCCGCTCTATTAGTCGAAAATGATTTTGACCTCAAGGCCGATTTAAAAGTAACCAAAGGTTCTTTATGTGGCTTGATATATATTCTCAGTATTGGCTTTTAATTTGTTTTAAGCTGAACAAAATCTAGTGGGTCCTAATGTGAGCGAAAGTAGGATTTTTGAAAAGTGTTGCTGTCTCCAAGAAACCAAATTTTGCACCTCACACATAATTGTTTCAATCGTCTTGAACAGAACAAAAGAAATGTCATGCTTTGTTAATATAAGCTTCTAATAGCTTTACAGACACATTTTTGGCAAGCGAAATTCTCTACTGATGTTCTCCAAGCACAGTTGTTTCATTTAATTCTCACTTGACTTCATTTCAGGTAGATTTTACGCAAAGGACATCAGAAGCTGTCGTGCCCTCTCCATTTCTTGTTTCCTGCCATCACAACTCTAAGTCACTCATATGCTAACCAGCCAATCACTAGGGTCTTCTTTGATCTGTTTCACCACTATAAAAGAGTGTTCTTTGACTTTCACCTCTCAACTCTTAACAGTAAGGAAATGCGGAGAATTTCTAGTCATCACTAAGACCGCCATTAGCGCCGCTTATGAAAGAGAGTTATATTCTCATCTTTCTTTGAGAAAACTTGTAAGTTCAAGTGGAATTGTTTGTAAAAGATCGGTTGTAAATTCCTTTGTGTCTTTGTCACCAAACAGACCTGCTCTCCCACCGCTATACCTGCAGACGATGACAATCGATTTTCATTGAAATAAATCGAAATATCTATCTGCACAAATACGTATACTGCACGCTATCTGAGGACTTTTGGCCAGTTGACAAGAAACTCTCTCGAGAATCTTGTCCACCAAAACTCTTTTGAAAATGAAATTGCGTAAATCGATCTAAACACACCAGACGTTTTACACTTTTTTCAGCTGCTTTAACAGGTTGTTTTAATGGGGCTTTAGAAAGCCCAGAACAAATGTGTTATGAAAGAAATAGAACCTTAAATCAAACAAAAATAATAAAAAAAGAAATAAACCCACAAGAAACCAGAAAATGTTTCTCAAGCTTGGATTTTGATATCTGTTATGAAGCAAAGATCAGCAAACAGAGTAACCTCAGACAAGTTGATATTCAGTAAAAAATTTCTGGTGGTCTGTCAACTGAAAACCCTGCTGAGATTCTTACCCGGATGTGGCGAGAGTTTCCGTTTTAATAAATCCCTTAAAAAAATATTTACCCGCTGGACATGTAATAATAAGTCTTCAGTGGTAATGTTTTCCCCTTTTATAGGACAGACTTTTTCTTTACCGGAAAAGAAGTCATGCACTTCTAGTTTTTAATCTTCAGAGAAGACTATCCAATAAATAGATCTGCAAATTTGATCTTGGTGTCAGATTAAACTACTTTTCAAAATTTACATGAATATAGCTCTATTCAGTTCTCTGTTTTCCAGGAGTTTCTGGGTGATTACTGAAAGATGTGATTGCGATATTCCGGTGCGATAAGGAGAGGGCTTCAGATACTAATCGTTGATATAAGGCGAGAGGCTTTACATATCGCAGACAGGGTATATACGGGGACCAGTGGCACATTACACTTGAGGATTGAATGACGGTATTAACACAAAACAAAACACGCTCAAGAGAAAACAACACAACAAGGGCTTAGGTGAAGAATTTGAGTTTTAATTTCAGAACCAGTGTCAAAGCCGGCTTGACGGAGCCATACCAGAAAATTGGAAGCAAATGACAAATTAATTTCAGAAGCGGGTTGTTCTCTTTCAAGTCTCCGGCGGGGAGTTCGCCGATTTGACACACTCCGTCTGTCATAACGTCAGTTCAGAATTCTATTTACACAGCGTTCGGCAAAACAATGAAGACATCTACATAATCTCTGACTTGTTAAATTTCGCGATACCTTGTGATTTAATCCGCAGACAAACGGCGCGCGCAAAACACGGAACGAGTCCTAATGATCGCGCGCGCGATGCGTTCGAATGTCTTAAATAGAAAAGCCAAGAGCGGACTAAACGCGTCTTGCAAGTGAAACTATTATTCGATCGCAGGTAACGCAACAAGTCAGGTCGCTCCCGGCCAACGATCTATTATTCATTACAATGTACAAAGGATTCCCAGGTACAATGCCACAACACAAAGTCTACATGCGATATAAATTTCAAATTGCCTCAAAGTTAGCATGACAAAGAAGCTACCTTTTGAAAGCAATTTTTACCCTGTTTACGAAACTCGTCCATGTTTAAAGCGACCTCCACTAATAAATTGATACTGCTGAAAGCATCCAAAGTTTGTGCGGTGTGATGTTCATTTGCCGGCATTTCACTGTCGCAGTCTTCCGACTGTCCTTGCGATGAAGGACTGCTACATCCCACGTATTCGAACTCTCCCCGATACTCACAGATGTAAGACTCCTGATCGTGCCTAGCAAAGTCATTTTCGAAGTGTGGCTCGGGACTGGGCGATAAATTTCGTTGATACAAGCTATTAGGCGACGGATTTTTGACGTTCGCTCTTCGCGTGATGGTATAATTGCTGGGGTCGCGTCCTTCTCGTCGAATCATCTCCGGTAGTATTCGCCTACGCGCGTTGATGAACCAGTTGCAAACTTGAAGCACTGATAAGTTGGCAGCTTTTGATAGGTACTGCTTCTCTGCCTCCGAGGGATATGCGTTGAATCTGTGCTCCCATAGCCACATCCGCAAAACATTGACGGAATCTTTCGGAAGGTTCCCTCTTCTTCTCTTGGGCGGTGGGCTAGCTGCGACACGTGATGCGCGAAGTACCCTTTCACTTTCTTCCCTCATATTTTCCACGTTCTCATCCACTGCGGGAGGGGATAATAAATTATTAGAAACAATGTAAAGAAAAGCAAGAGTTTCTGACTAGTCGGGGTTTGAGCGTCAAGCGACTGACAATAGATAAGCGCGACTGTGCGAGTGTCGTATCAAGACATGTATTGATCTTATGAACTACTTCAACTGTCATCGGCAGCGAAAGGACAGTGAAATCACGAGACATGTCTAGTCTAATACTAGTTAGTCTTTCTGCGCAAAAATACTACAATCTTGTTTTAAACATTTGGTAAGCCTTAGAAACGAAGAGAAAAGGAGATTCCAAGCAACACTATCCCCCGACAAACATGAAGTCAACACTGTCAAAAGCACAACTCATTCATTCAGAGAGGCGTTGCGCACTTGGATGGTTTTCTTGCAAAATGACATTCGTTTAACCGGCTTCCGTAACTTACGGTAACGCTTGTTTCTCGTCGTCTTGCCCGTGTGGGGAGCCATGTCTTTTCGGCGAAACACGTCCCAATGTTGTCCAAGGTTTACACGGAATAGGCTCAAGGCGTAGAATTTGAAGCAAGCAGTGTTTGCGAAACCTGCAACAGCGAAGAGACTTTGACACTAATGACAGATGAAAGCGTGTGTGCAGCAGTGCGTTGCCTTGTGTTTGTGTAATTTACAATATAATAACGGCACGCGATTGGTTCAGAGTGACAATCTATTTGAATTGCGCTCAAATTTCATTGGTTCCTGTGGACAACTGGGAAAATTTTCCACGTGGAACCGAGATAGACGGTGATTTTATTTACTTCAGGTTTCAGAACCTAACACCAATTTTGACTGCCCTTTCGCAAGTCTATTATCAAAGTTTTGTTTCATTTCACTAAAACAAACATTAGAGATCTCAAGGCTTGAACGAAAATGAAATTTTCGTCGTAAATGAAGCATCTCTGGTCACAATCGGTGTGCCACGATTGGTCAGAGAACACTTACTTTAGAGGGTTCGCTTTCCAGTCTTCTATACTGGAATAGATAGATATTCAGTTTGTGGAAATTGAGCAACAGCTATGGGCGTATTATATTCCAATTTAAACCAAATTAGAAACCGCAGGAATAAATTTTTACAAGGTTCACTGAAGGGTAAACGACAAATCAAGGTCTACAAGGGTTTGTTTTGACTTAAAGCTAGTTTACTGGTTTGAATTTCAGGTTTTTCCTTTCGGTGACTTTTTGATCGGGGTTGTTTTTCCCTGAAATAGCATAAGTATCTATATCCTTCTAAGGTTACCGGAGTTACTCTCGTCACATCGACGCATGTATTGTTTCGATTTGAAAGCCGCATTCTCCAAGTTATAATATTGTTTTTGAACAATGCAGCTCAGTCATCCCTGTATCAAGACTGGAATAAAGAATCTCCGAGCTGTCAAACGCTGAATAAATACTAGCTTGTCAAATTAAGCGATGGGAAAAAAATTATAGGAAATAATGTCGTTTTGGTTTCCTGATCACACATTTAGTTCCCTTTTTGCCTTTATGATTTGAAGATAAAACAGCCTATTTGGTTCTGATATTCGGTCGGACGAGACCTATTCCAATAGAATATACAAATCCCGCAGGCTATGTCCTTGCTAGCGTCACTTAGAAACCGCCTACGCACGTTCGAGCCTCTTTAAACTTGCTATGCATTTAACTTGGGTCACTTAAAAATATAGTTCAAAGTTCTCAAATCTCGGCCACAAAAAAATCTAAGAGCTTATTTTCCCTTCGTAAATACAATATAGGGTACTTTGATTCTAAGCTCGTTGAGATCTTTTTTTCACTTTCTAATTCCAAGCGACCAAAAGTTGTATGAACAATGGCAATTAAAATTTCACTTGTTACTAGCTAATAAAGCGACCTATTATCAAAAAACCGAGGTTCTTTTAGCTTTTCCAGTATAAGATTCAATTTCTGGTACTTATATGCGACTTTTGTAAAGGTCTAAAAGGACTTAAAAAGAGAATTGCTTTCCGCGAAAAATTGCTGCGAAGAAGTGTTAATTGTTCACCTGAAATCCGTTGGAATACATTTCACCTGTCAGTTGACTAAATGAGTCGGTAAAAAAATCCGGAGAAAAATATTCCAGAATAAAATAGATAAGTTTAGCCTATTACTATCGCTTAAAATAGAAAATTGCACCAAGATCTGTAGGAAAAGATTTGAATTTCGAATCAACTGCTCAGTTTTCATTCAACCAGTTGGTTTCAGTCGGAGACGGTAGGTACCAGAAGGAGCGAAAACAAAACACTAGGTTGCAATTTACATCTCATTGAACGCCGTGACTTGTAAATGGCAGCGAATGTTTGTTCTGAAAAGGTGGCTAGATCACGGTAAAAAAAAAATCAGGGAGACTAAATTATAATTTTAATTTTCCGTCTCAGTTTCGGCGTGTGAACTTAAATTCTCGGTGGCTAGGAGAACGCTGAGGTTGAGTATTGTGTCTTGAGTTCGAAATTTACTCAGTTGTGTTTGCGGTAGACAAAGACAATCTAAACTACTTTATGAAGAAAGCAATTGGCCTGATAACGTTAAGAGCATTTTTGTGGGCGGATAAAGGCGGAAATTGGTTGGTAAATTTCGAGCCTTGAGTTTGACACTTTACCCGGTCATAAGCTTCTTTCTCTGAAGCAAAAAAAAAAAAAAAAAAAATTTGACAGGAGAAACTGAGCCTGCAGTAACTGTTTTGATACAGCGGCAAAAATAAAATTGTATGCGTTTAAACCATGACGCAGCAACAAATATGGCGGCAAAGTCTGAAAAACCATGTGGGTTGACACTAGATTTACGACCAATTTCTCCAAATGAAGACAGCTCAGGAAGCTGTGAAAGGTATATTTGCAAAAGAAAGTTAATAACTGCATGGTTTTTCTGTATTCTTATCTTTCCATCTTATTTCCAATAGTATTAACGAAGCGCCACCCCAGACCCCCAGTTCTCCCTCGAAAGCCAAACCCGATAATGTTGTGTTCCGTCAGTCAAACAGGACGATCTATACCGCAGGTGAGTTTTGAATTGTTCTTTACGCGATAGCCGTTCAACCAATTCAGGAATAAAGGGAACTTTAAATTTATTTTGGCAGCTTTTGGGAAAAGCTATGGCGAGCTTTCACATTACGTCATTGACCTGCCCAATCCGATACAATGGGCTCACAGTGACTCTAGCGAACGATTCCTTTTAAATCCTGCCTCTTTCTCTTAACGTCTATTTATATATCTTTTGATGTTACTTGTTTACTTACGTAGGTTTTTAATTTAAACTCAGACCAATCTGTTCTTACCTCAAAACCTTTAAGACGTCCAAGCAAAACTTGGAGATCTTGCATAATTTTGTTAGTGGTAGTAGTTGCAGCTGCAAAAGCTTTTCAATTGTGCATACGCCGTTAATCGATCGCAAATACTTAAATTAATTCATACTGTGTAAAGATATTTTTAAGTTTCATCTTTTCCTTTGTTTTAAGTCCTGTGATTGTCATGTGCTGCAGATTAGATTCTGTCATAGGATTAAAATGTTTGGAGCCATCATTGAGTCTGTCTTAATTATGAGTTTTGCACAAAAATAGCTCATCATAATTAACTTTAAGTATGATATCAGTGGGCAGATGTTGCTTGGGTCTTTATGAAGGACCAGAGATTGGAGAATTTACAGAGCACTGCTCAGAATTTTAATTTTAATTATTTTTTAATTTCCAGTGTCCAAGTTATTCTTTATGCACTCCTGGAGACTTTCCTAGTGTTGATTCTGAGAAGTCTCCTGCCACTATATTTCATAATGCTTTACACCTTAGCATTGCATTTCCTTTGGTACTGAGAGTCGGGAGCTACTTAAATTGGTGATCAGTTCCTTTATTCTCGTGACTTTTACATTGGATTGAAGTTGATTCTGTAAGGAGAAATTCAAAGCCAATCACTCCTGAGGTCAAGAAAACCCTGTGTTATACACCATAAGCATATGATCCTCTTACCTTAGATGTAAGGCTCACAAACTTAGTAAGTCCCTGCGTACCATAGACTCTGACCATCTCCCTGATATCAATAATATACCTGCATGCTGATAATTTCTCAAGCCATGAGCTCACCCTTAAAGTTCCTTTGTAAAGTGTAGTATTTCATGTTGCACCTCATGCTGTTACCAGTTTACTTGCTAGGGCAAGAAGATAAATTTTTTTTCACACGTATGTCTCTCATTTTCACAAACGTTTTTTGACAGTCGTGTAACATGATGTAATATTTTAATTACTCTCTCATTATGGTCTAAAGTTTATGCACAAACATGTACATGGAGTTTTAATGATGTTTTGACATTTTCTTTTTATAGCAAATGAGATTTTCAGTAGAGTTTTCAATAGTATGGTACATTTTGTAATATTGAACAAAGTGTCCTCTTTATCCCTGTTGACAAAAATTTTATTTTTGGCCATAGCTTGTAGATTCAAGTTTACTCATAGGTGAAAATTTGAGCCCAGAGTTTAATTATGATTTTGCATACTCTGACTGGTAAGAATTATGTTGCATGAACCACACTAAGCATTACCAGATAGCTATTTTTGGCATATAACAAAATGATCTATTTCTTAGAAGTGTCAAATTCTTAGCAACCAGCTGATTGCATTATATTTCAGGTACAAGTAGCTTCTTTAAATTGAAAACTCAATGAAGATTTCTTCCTAAAATTTGTGATTTCATGGTTAACTTCTTATGATTACCTCAGGTTAACCAAAGTTTTTGATACAGTCACCTGTTATAAACAAATATCTTCTCTTTTGCATCACAATTACCAGCTGTTTAAATTTAGCACTGAGTAATTAAGCTCATTAGCTACCATATACTTGTACATACTAGTCAATGTGACTTGCAGATATATTTATATTAAATGTGAACAAAGCGATGATTTTTGAGAAACTCCTTGAGTATTGCTTAAAGAACCTCTCTCTCTCTCTCTTTACATCTGTATAGAAAGTTGCTAAATGATAAAAGATTTAAGTGATTGATGAATGGATTCCAATTTGGTTTTCAACTAGGAACAAAATTTTTAGAACAATAGGCTCAGAAGCTATCTCATCTTCCAAATGATAGCTTAGTTAATGTAGAAGGAGATTCTGTGACGTAACAGTCAGTGCTCTTGACTCTGAATCAAGAGGTTCATGTTTGAGATCTGGCAGGGTTGTTGTGTTGCATTTGAAGCAGTGAGGGCCCACTTCAATCAAACACAACTTAGCATTCAATTTAACTACTTTTTGATGTGGGAAGAAGAAGTAGTAAATTCCTAAGAACAAAAATATAAGACAGGAAAAATAAATGCAACGATACCACAAGATAAAAACTAACCAAGTGCTAAGGGAATATATGAGACATGAAATGCTCAACAGAGAAAAAGTTTACAGGGATGTAAAAAAACAAAACCAGACAAGACACACACTGCTAAAAGGGTGTGAAACACGATATATGAAGGGCGACATAATAAATGACTTGCCAATAGTCGAATCCTGGTGTTTGCACAAAGCTGATTTTTTAGAATCGCCATGGTACAAACATTGCAGCCTGCTAGAAAGAAATGTATGGCAAAAGGCAGTTTCAATGTCCAAAAATTTATTTGTGTGAAGTGTACCTCTAGCTATTTTCTTGGCTTGGTAATACAAAAGAGTGCTGAAACAGCTACCTAGAAACAGCATGAGATTGAAATGGTGTGCTTGAGCATTAAATATTATCGTGATAAATTTAAATGATTAAACACCTACATTGCTTATTTGTTGTGATCTACGAGAATGAACCAGTGTTGATAATCAGCTGAAAACTGAACCTTTTCTTCTTTGATGATGAGTAGGTAAAAATAGGTCGCTTAAGGAGTGATGCTCAACTGAATATATGTCAACAGTTTCTGCCAGATTTCCCATGATTTTGCTTTTCCCAACAGATCCTCCAAGGAGCTTGAGGAGAAAAGTGGAAGCTCAAAAACATTTGGATTTTACTCAAACAGATTATCACTTGACGGGGGGGGTTTCATGTTTTTCGTCGCATATTCCATCATTTTAAAGAGCAACAGCTTGGTTAAAAAACATTTCCAGTATGTTGACAATGACTTCTCTCCCTTGTGGAGGTATACTTTCAAATGTCATAAGTTGTTTATTTAATATGTCGACAAGTATGAAGATGGGCTCTTCATACATAAATGCAACAGATAAGACTTATGTGAGTTATTTCATAGCAGTTGATGGCTAATTTTGTAATAAGTCGAGACCATTATGCGATGACGATTTCACAATAGACCTTACCCAAGGAGAGAAGTTTATTGGTATATTTTATAACGTACTTCGAAGTAATTCCAACCAAAACTTACACCTATCTTCTATTAAGATCATCTTAATCCATCTATGATAAAAGTGCAGCGAAAAAGCATTGATCTCTCCTAGAAAATCTTTTTGAACATCAAAACTGCCTTTCCCCATAAGTTTCTTTCTAGTGGGCTGCAATGTTTGTTCCATGATGATCCCAGAAATCTTTGCATACGTGCAAGGATCTGATTACTGGCAACTCATTCAATCACATTTAGTGCAAAAATAAAGGTGTAGAAATGATACATGTAAAAATGAAAGAATAAGCTTTTATGGGTGCAGAAATCTGAAACCTACCGGTATGTGTGAGAAAAAACAAAAATTACACGTTGGCCACATCAGTGGTTTAGGACAAGAAGCTTCAAATTGATCAACCCTTTAATCCCTAAGAGAGACATAGAGCTGTTTTCTCCTTACAATATCACCCCGGATATGGTCACCAGAACTAAGGAAATGATCACCAACTGAAGAAGGTTGATAAACAAAAGTAACAACCTAATAGACATCAACCTTGAAAATTTATTATTCCTCAATCATGAACAACGCACAAGTCGCAATCACACTTTTAAATATAAGGTCCCAATGGCCAAAACAGACGCTTTTAAATTCTCTTTTTTCCCAAGGACTATCGCTGAATGGAATACCCTCCCAAGTGACGTTGTTAACTCTTGTTCTCTTAATATTTTTAAATCAAATATTAGCAGCATCCATTTTAATGTTTACACAGATGTATATATTTTTTAATAATTTTCTAGTTTTCTAAATTTTTTGTTTTTATATAGTTGGTATGATACCCCTCAAAGTTTTACTGACTCTAATAAATGTAGATGTAGCTGTAGGAAATGTATAAAGAACAGTATGGAGAATATACAAGCTGATGTTAGGATGTCAAGGGTTAAGTGATGAAGAATGTGCACATTCTATCTTGTTTTCCCTCCTAGGCCGCCCTCCATGGTACAATCTCCAAGGACAGCTTAAAGAACCATTTGTCATAGGTAATGTTGTTGCAGATATGAAGCAGAAATTTCCTCAACTACAGTCCTAAAACAGTTGTCTTCAACAAATGAATTAGGAAAAAAATCTGGAATTCTATGCATCAAAATTGTGAAGAAAGTGCTGCCTTTGTAATAGTATCTGCAAATGGTTAGACTTTCTAGTCTTCTCGGATGGGGACGATAAATGGAGGTCTCGTCTCACAAGCCCTCGTATGTGATAAAAAATATTTGTGAGACGTTAAAGAACCCACACACTGTTCGAAAAGAGTAGGGCACGTAGTGCCCGGTGTTGTGGTCTATCTTTGTGTTGTGTATATCAAATTGATGGGGAGTACTGTGCCTTTGAATATTGTATAGAAAGGGCACAATATAAATAATGAATTCATTCATTTATTCATTCATTCAATTGTGGATGTAGGTGATAAACAAAGTGTTTAACTTTTGACCCAAAGATAAGGCAGGCTTATGCTAATGCTTCTGATTAGATATTGCATATTGGTAGTTAACTTTGTAATCATGTGGTTAAAACAATTTTAAGTGAAATTGTACCTGACTTGATTGGAATATGCATCCTTATTACACACCGTAATGGAAGAATATCGGCCCTCTGTCTTTTTTTGTACGGACATCAAGATCTCGGGCTGATATTCTCCCAGTACGGCCCTCGCGCTTGGTTAATACGATATATTTACTGCCCAATGCTACATCTTGTTAAATCTTAAATAATAGGTTTGTGTGGTGGAAGTGCTTCAGGAAAAACTACTGTTGCCAACAAGATCATCGAACAACTTGGAGTTCCATGGGTCAGCATGCTCTCACTTGATTCCTTCTACAAGGTGAGATAAAAATACGGTTTGGAATTTGGGAGGGTACAGAAGTGACATTGGATTCACAGAACATGTAATGAAACACTGAAATATGTTCTTGTAATGTAAATAATGTTAATGATCTCCAATGTCACTTTATTTGGTGATGTACAATTGAAATTATCTTTCTTGCTTTATCAGATAGGGGAGCAGAGGAAAGGGGTACAAAATCAAAACATGCAAGTGGTTGGGAACTTTTTATAGTATTTCTGCCTCCTTAAGACTGATATTGTAAGCTAAAAAACATCAAAAATTGTTTTACAAGAGAATTTTTACAAAATTATTACAGGTACTGACTCCAGAACAACATAAAGCAGCACTTAGAAATGAGTACAACTTTGATCATCCAGGTGAGGTTGATGGAGGAAGGATTGTGTCGAGATTACACATTGATTGGTTTTATTCATATGTGTGTTAATTTGAGAGGTCCAAGTTTCAGGTGGTTACCTTTCTTCCCTGGAATGTATCTGAAAAACTTAATGGATTCTTGGTTGATTACCCTTAAGTTTTGGTATCCTATCAAGGGGTAGAAATACTCTCTGGCACTTAATGTAAATAATTGTTGTGATGTAGATCCTCTAATAAACCCCCCCAGAGGGCTTATTTATTTCAGGTACATTGGAGGGGAGGGGGAAACTTAATAGAGGGGGCTTTATTAATTTAGCATTGCTCTCTAATATCCGTATACCATATTCTATTGATGTCAACATGATAACATCAGTCAATCAATCACCATGATCAATTTTAAATGACAAACTGAAATTATAGTACTTGAATAAATTTATTGCACTTTCTGACATAGGCCATTGCAGAAACGTGAGAGGACTGGGAAAGAGTGTGGTTGTTTTCGGTTTGTTTGAAAAACTAAGATATTCAAATGAAAGATCAACTAAATTTTGAGTAAGCAAGAATAGAAGTATTTAGAGGAGGAAAGTGGCAAAATGATAGCTTTTCAAATATCACCTAAGATAGAGAGTTTGTATGGATTGGGTAGACAGGGCAAAAAGTATTAAGGGTTTGTATGGAATTTTTGCAACTTTTGCAAGGCTCCAATTTGAACACTTTTCCGCTGAAACTCTCAAACTTGGCTGGGTAGCTTTCCATTCAATAACATTTCACTTGAAATGTTAAGATTTTCAATGTAATCAATATAAGAAACTCATCCCTTTCCTCTCACGTTTCTGAAATGGGCTATGGAGTGTTATTTTGAATTTTTGTTTTTTGAGAGGGAGGGTTGGGGGGGCTTAGCAAGTGTTATGATAAGTGGGTTCTAAGTCACGTGATCTCATGGATCACGAGCAGTGTGAAACTACTGAATAAACAAGCTGTAAAAAAGTTGAACTCATAACATGGTACCACGATCTCTTTGAAAGAAACTTTTCTGACTCCTAACTCCGACATGGAACGTATTAAACCTCCCTCAGAATTGGATATTGATAGTCTCAATCTCACAGATAAATGGAAGGAATGGAAAGAAGCATGGGAATTGTATCGGATATCGAGTGGCCTGCACGAAAAGGACGATGCCCTACAGATAGCAACCATCCAAAGTATTCTCGGGACCAAAGCAAGACGAGTGCTAAAAACTTAACCAAATATTCCCGAAGATATCATGCAAATGACTGTTAGAGGTATCTTAACAGTGCTGGAAACGTATTGTGTTCCTCGGAAGAATACAACCTACGAACGATACCTCTTCAGAACGACCACCCAAGAAGACCGCTGGTTTGACATATTTGTCACAGATCTCAGAAGAAGAGCTGAATACTGCGATTTCAGAGCGATTAAGGATTCTCTGATACGAGATCAGATTGTGGTGGGCATAAATGATATCAAACTACGAGAGCGACTGCTACACGAGGCGGATTTGATACTCAAGAAGGTCATGAAATTATGCAGAATCACGGAGCAATCTAAGAAACAGTCGAAAATCTTCATCTCACCAACCACTAAAATGGGTAACATCGAGGCTGTAAAGAAGGCAGAGCCACCGGTGGACACAGCAAAATTCAAACAGGAAGACTGGGGTAGAATAATGAAATGCAAATTCTGTGCAGCGTCTCATGACAGGGGAAAATGTCCAGCCTATGGAGCCACGTGTCACAAATGCAATGGAAGAAATCACTATGCTCGGTGCTGCTTCAAATTGAAGAATGGCACGGAAGAAAGAAGTGTTCGTCACGTGGAAATAGAGGAACACGAAAGCATTGAACTGTTGGAGGGTCTGTACATCGAGGAAATTCAAAGTAGTACTAGAAGGAACATTCAGTCAAATCTACTTGTTAATGACATTCCCGTACGTTTTAAACTTGATACAAGTGCAGAATGTAATTTCCTCAGATTTGGCTACTGAGGTAAAAGGGGGCTAAGGTACAGCTCAGGTACAGCCAACAAGCATGTTACTGAAGTCATTTGGGGGGCACCAGCTAGATACTGTGGGCAAATGCCTTCTTGATACGAAGGTAAAAGGGGCTAAGGGTTTAACACCCTTGGAGTTTTATGTACTCGGAGATAATGTAAGACCCCTCCTTGGTTTAGAATCATGCTTAGACCTAGAGCTAATCACCTTGAATAACAAAGTAGAACAAATAGGTCTCTGTGTCAATAAAGTTCGAGAAAAATTCACCCTTCTGGATGAATTTCAGGATGTTTTCAAAGGTTTAGGATGTGTTGAGGGAGAGTATAACATTAAGTTGAAGGCTAAGAGTAACCCTACTATTCAACCACAACGGAATGTCCCGTTAAGACAACCAAATAGCTTAAGAAAGGGGATGTTATGATAAGTGGGCTGTAAGTCACGTGATCTCATGGACCACGTGCAGTGTAAAACTACTGAATAAACAAGCTGTAAAAAAGTTGAACTCATAACAGCAAGTTTCTTTCTCGAAAGATGGGGGGGCTCAATAGAGGATTAACGGCAAATTGGGTATTACCCCTGGTGCTAATGAGTCAGTAGGCTTATAAGATGGCAACAAGGCTGTGCAGGAATTGCAAGCATGCAGAAATGCAAGATGAATCTTGCTAAAAAGTCTTGTAAGCCTACTTTATGGAGACTGTCTTTGTGGAGATTGTTGTGAGTGTTGCTTTGCTGAAATTACCTTTCAGTTGGGTATATTTTTATTCATGTTTTTGTGTACTGTTAGATTCTTTTGATGCTGACCTAGCTGCAAGTGTCTTGAAAAAGTTAAAAGAAGGAAAGAGTGTTCAGGTATGTTGGTTGACTCATAAGATGCTGCCCCAGGTGCAACTAAGTTAACAAAATGCGCTGGTCATATGTATTTTTGCCTTGCGACAATGCACACACTGCGTGCACTCAACACATGTATTTTTGCGATCTCTCTGGCTGGTACTATACTTTTTAGGCAGTGTTGCTTTTGTGACAAAAACATGTAAGGTTACACTTCTTGGTGGGTGTTCAGCAAAGTCTTGTACTTGACTTTCTTTATAACTCTTTTTAGTCAAGAAAATTACATTTAGTTTGTACATTGATCACTTATTTTGTAGTACATGTACATGCCAAGGCATTATGCCTTAAAATAGTAAATTATGGAATTTTTGCCTCAAGCATTTTCTGACCTTTTCCATTTAGGTGCCCATTTATGACTTCAAAACTCATGGTAGACTGGAACAGATGGTATGGTGCCTATTCCACAGTGTTTCTGTGTATTTTAACCCTTAACTTGCTAACATCAATATCCATTTTCTCCATTCTCTTTTCTGTACTTTTCCTTTGGTACTGACAAAGAGAATGTGTTTTTATGGCTACTGCCTCCTATGGAGGCAAAGCCATAATGTTGTCCTATTGAGTGAGTATAACTGTTACAATAGAATACGAATGACCTCTTCACCTGCAACAAAGTCTGCTGAGTCTTACCTGGTATTCGTCACTCTTGGCTTTTGTTTGTTTCAGTACATCTTTGGTCGTTCAAGGCTTGGTAATGGTTTCTTTGGATCGCCTTGAATGTTACTCGGAATTAGCATGTGATTACACTGTTTTCCGATGCTGCTGATTGTTTGTTTCAGACTACTACAGAAGACAATAAACATCTCACAATTACTTCAGGGTGGCGTATGTAAAGACAAAACTTGACTGTGCAGAAATGTCTGAAAAAGTGTGATCAGTGCATCATGAAAACTTAAAGGAAAACTTCTTTCTTTGAAGAAAGAGCATTTTGTCATTTGAATCAGTGAATTATGCCCAGTAGATCCAAAGATATTAATTTTCAGTTCTTGCTGTGACACCACAAAAGCTGATAAACATCTCAATATAATTTCACAGTAGCATCTGCGGCATGTAATTGAAAAAAGACTTTTCCTTTCAGAAATATCTAAATAAGTTTGATGTGAACATCATGGAAGCTTTGAAGAAAAATTTTTTTTTATTTGAAAAGAGAGCATTTTACCATTTCGATCGGTGGCAAATGCTCAGAAGAGTCAACAAATTTGCAAAGGGAGCAAGGTTTGAGAAATACATTACCTTGAGTTTAACAGTGACCCTATGGAACGGTGAAATGGAGGAATGACAGAGTATTATATAACACAGTGCCTAATTGTGTGAAACAAAAGTCTCACAAAAATGGAATTGCAATGAAATTAAAAATATATATATTAATTAACCAGCAAAATTAAAATTAAAAGAAGCCAGTAGTTTAATTGTTATTGGAGCCTAGAGATTAGATTGATAGAGGAACAGGGAGGTTCTTGTGCTAACCCCGGTTCGCAGACGACGCAAATTTTGGCTATTGTTCTGCCAATTAGATGTCTTGTTTTTCCACGTCCTCGTTGCCATCGCCGTCGTGGTTTCTTAAGGTCCCTAATATGTGGGATGCGACAACAGTAGCCGTATGCAGTCTTAACTGCCTATTTTTTATCCATGCTTCTTAAGTTGGCAATGATTTCCTTAATTCTCATTATCTCTTTGAAAGATTCAGCAGAATTACTGTAAAGAGAATGTAGATGCTGGTCACTCTTGGGGTTCAGAGAGTTAGAAGCATAAATTCATTTATCATTTGATGCATTTTCCTTCTTTTTCATTGGCCAAAAGCCCATCAAATAACTGCCTGCAAATAATGGTCTGCTTATACCCAACAAAAAAATTTGTCTGTACTTTGCTTCAAATAATGTTCTGTCCATGTATATTGTGTCTATGGTCTTCTGTGGTCTTATGCATGGTGAGTTGGGGAAGATGTTCATTCAATAAACCTTTTGACTCAAAAAAAGTTACTAAGCATCTTAATTCTCTTGATAACAGCACCTCTGAATCAAATGTTAAGGTTATAAGAATAAATTAAACAATCACAAACTAAAAAGGCTCTAGTCTGTTAAACATATTCTCCTTGTCAACAGCTAAGGGAGCAAAGAGAACCGTATGGAGAATGTGCAAACTGATGTTAGATGTGAAGTGTTTAAGTAATATTACTTTACTCAGTGTAAACTATCATGAAAAAAGGGGCTCTTACACAATGATGTTGTTTTCTTTTTCATGTTTTTTCACAGACTAATTTATATGGTGCAAATGTCATTATCTTTGAAGGAATCATGGCGTTTGCGTACAAAGAGTTGCGAGATGTAAGCCAGAAATCTCACTTACCTTTTGTTGAAACATCAGTTTAGTTTTGGTTTTACAGTTATCTTACTTATTTTCTTGATTGTTTGCCTACTGGTAGTTGATGGATATGAAGGTTTTTGTTGATGCTGATCCTGATGTTCGCTTGGCAAGACGGTGAGTGAAAGACTTTCCAGATGTTTGTTTAAAAATTGAAAGTTGAATCAGAGAAAAATTCAATTAGGTACTAGTTTTGTGCTTGATGAAAAAAAAAAAAAAAAAATAAGCTGCAAGAATGTTAATCTCCCTGAACAGTTTTTATGTTCAGTTTAGGTAACATTTCTGGTAAGAAACATGAATGCCCTTATACTCTTGCCTTTGAGTTTTGCCAATTGCAGCTGTAAGATATCTCCCTTAGCAGGGTTGCTACAATGTTAAGAGCACTCCTAGTGTGCTTCTGTGACCTTGTTGGATTCCTTAACCTATTGACGTCCAGTGCGCCCGTATGCGCCCATAGGGACCCACACCCTTTCTACGCCTTGTGACGTCATCACTTTTAACCCTGGAGTACGAATTTGAGCACGTACTTAAACAGGTTGAAAATATCTTACAGACGATACCAGAATGAGCACAACTGAGCGAAGGAGATTGGAGAAATAGCCAAAAAACCATGTCACTTTGAGCTGAAAATCTGCACCAAAATCGTGTTTCAGTACCCACCTACCTTTCCAAGCATGTGCTTTGAAAATAATGAGTAGTTTTTGAAAAATCTCTACACCAAACTGAAGCCTACTCAATTTCCAGCAAGTGAGGAGAAACTTCAGGCAAGGAGAGGGGAAAAAAAGGGCAGGAGAAAGAGAGAAAAGTAAAAGTCGTAAGTGGGGCATGACTTTTCAACCCAAAAACTATGTCTAAATTTTGCTCTCTGCGCGTGCCCGAGATTTTCAGGCCTCCATTTTGCATTTGGATCGAAAGGCCGTCAAGTGCACGAGCTGTCAAGGGGTTTTTGGTAAGTTTGAGCTTTTAAAACCACAACAGTGACCTGAAATCTGCTCGGCTAGCTTCAAAACACAGTTTTCCACAAAAGCTGCGGCCATTAATGGGTTAAGTTGATGTTGCATTTGTGTTGAGTTTGTTATTGGTTCTTGAGGTTAACCTTTCATGGGTTTTCTTCCTGTTTTGTTTTTCTTCCCTCTGTAAAAATAAATATCCTAAATCCTGTCATTGATTTGAAAAAAAAAAGGGGGGGGAAAGCTGTGTACTTTATTACTTTCTAAACATTTCATCATTCATGCCCATTCATCCAGACTGAAAAGAGACATCTCTGAACGAGAGAGGGACCTTGTTGGTGTCTTGCAGCAGTACAACACTTTTGTGAAACCTGTATGTACCTGTATTTTGTAGACTATAGTATTCCAACTAAGCTGAACTTCCTGTAGGAGTAATTAAGGATATGATGTAGTGTGTCTGTGATAAAGTGCAGTTCCCTAGAGGTATTACTGTTAATGGCCACAACTAAGCTAAAAGGGGGTTATAGTGTAACTGCTTACATTGTTATGAAATCAATACCAAAATGCACTTCTTTTTTTCCAGTTTTTTTCCTTGTCATTTGGAATCTTTGGTTAATGTGTCACAGGTTTAGAGAGACTTACTTGGAAGTTTTTTTATACCCAACTTCAGGATTGACCATTTTTTTGTCAAAAAAGGTTTTTTTTTTTTCACCTGTAGTTCACCAGGGGGAAGGAGGCTATTGCTGTTTGGTAGTTTGCATGAGCCTTTTGGTACACAGCTGCAAGATCTTTATAATATGCTCCAGTTGTTTGTTCATGTACAAAGAAAGCAAAATTTCTCCGTCCCTTCTGGATGAGATCTGCCTACCTTAAAAGTTTCTCTCCTCTAACCATTTGAATCCATAATAGAGCGGCCAAATTCCATCATCGTCTCGTGTGCTTCGTGCTGTTTTGTATAGTGAGGTTCTGTTAAAATTGTTAACTTTTCCATAGAGCCAAAAAGTGCTTTTTGTATGTCACCTTCCTTCATTTTTACATATTTTGCATTATTTGAAATTCAGGCTTTTGATCAGCACATAGCACCAACTGTTGTGTTTGCTGACATTGTTGTCCCAAGAGGTGTGTATGTTTTATGAGAAATTTTCTTTGAATTTACCATTGTGAAAGTCCTCTTCATAGTTTTCTTTCAACAATTTCATCAACCAAAATATACTTCAAACAATCCCTTTTTGAAACAAAAAGCAGTTACTTTTCTTTTAATGCCTTGCACTCTGAGAGCAATAAACATCTGGTTTCTCCTTACAATTTCACTCCTTTATTACACATCAAGGTCACAAGAATAAAGGAAATGATCAGCAACTCAAGACACTCTTGATGTCAGCAACACTTTAGTAAATGTAGAGAAAACAGTGTGAAGAATATGAATGCTGATTCAAGGGTGTAAGGGGTTGACCCTTTCTCTCTCAAGATCTTCATAGTTATTCTCCTTACTGTCTGCTATACAATTCTTACAATTCAAGTTTGGAGAATTTGGTATTTGATCAACTAATAATCCCCTAATTGATATTTTTCTTTATTCTCAACACTTGTCTGCTTGACATCGTAGGGCTATTGTAAGGAGAAAGTCTGTCTTGGTCACTCATGGATGTTGAAGGGTTAAGATTTATTCAGAAAACTTTGCTTTCAATTACCCAGGTGGTGAAAATAATGTTGCTATTGATCTGATTGTGCGCCATGTCAGAACACAGCTGGAACAGGTTAAATTTGGTTTCCTTGTGTATTTTGATTTTGACCTTTGACTCAAGTAAAATTTTAATCAGAAAAAAATTAATTTACTTTATTTCTCTATCGCTTTGTATTTCCCTTCAGAGAGGATTTAATTTCAGGTAGGAAATAAGTGTGACACCATTGTTGAAAGACATGACTGTTTGCACAAATGAACTTAACTAGTTTGTACATTTGCTCTGACAGAGAGTCTCTTGAAACTATTCCTGGTTGTCAATTTACATTGTCAACTCAGTTGATGATAACCACCGAAGCAGCATCACAGTTTCTTTAGAAAAGTACCCCATTTATTAGTGTGTACATATGATAGCTGTGTAATATCTCCTGGAAATTATGATGAAATAGCTCATTGTTTCCTTTGTACCACTCATAAAGGAAACTTAAAGTCACAAATTCTGCTACAAAAAAGATGACACAGCACATTTTGGGCCTTAATGTCATCAATTGCAAATTTGTCGTTTTAATCTTTTTATTATTAAGGTACTTTTAACTGACTTGTTGTACTTCTGTTACATCCTCTGATGATTTACAGAGCACAGCTTCGGTCGTTTCATCAAGGACAGCCACTTCCCAGTTCACTTAGTATTTTAGAAAGTACACCACAAGTCAGAGGATTACATGCAATTATTAGGTTAGTAATGTGGATATTTTGATCTTCATTGTTTCAACAGTGACCTTTGGCAAGGCCACTGGTTAAGTCTCCAAACGTGTACGGTACCCTTAACACTTAGACAGCTAAAAATAAAATTTAACAAAATCCACTTTTAGATTAGAGATCTGGAATGTTTACAAAAGAGTACTTTTAATTGTATTTTCAAAACTCTGAGAACCTTGAACTTCAAATTGCAAGTCACAAAGAGGCTTAATAACAGGGTTTTATGGACATTTAAGAGTTGATACATTCATTTGAATAGTTTTGCTTGTGAGCACATTAATTTTTATGAATTTCTTAGTGGTAATTGTTTCTTTTCAGGAATGAAGAGGCTAGTCGAGATGACTTTATCTTTTATTCCAAGAGACTGATGAGAATTCTCATTGAACATGCACTTTCACTTCTACCTTTCAAAGTACGTAGCTTTCCTTCAAAATTCCACTAGAAATTTAATTCCATACCTTAGGTTTTCCCTACTCTGATGCTCTTCTTAGGAACTGTAGCAAAATCTTTGGTGAGCTAAACCATTAAGTGATTAACGTGAAACTTCTCCTTATGATATCGATACATAACCCAGCAAACAGGTAATGAAAATGATCAAACTTATAACTTAGAAGTTGTTATCTTGAGCTAACACCAAAATCCTCTTAACTAATTTACAAGGAAATGTGTAGCAGCTAGAGGGGAGAATAAGAAATAAGATCTTGGAGTTAAAGGGTTAAGCTTCGAATCAATGCTGCTACTTAAACTTGGTGGGTTTTTACCAAGTGCACTTAACCGTTTTACTCACAAGATCTCATTCATAATTCTCTTCACTGTCTGCTATACAATTCTTATGATGTTAGTTTGGAGAATTTGGTATTGGATCAACCCATAATCCCCTCGTTGATATTTTTCTTTATTCTCATTACTTCTCTGCTTGATATGGTGTCGATATGGTCACTCGTGGGAGTTTTAAAGGGTTAAAGGAAATAATTGATCCCATAGGGCAAACAAGTAAACCCAAGCAGGCTTTTCTTTCAGTTGTGGGTAAACAAATGTTCCTGTTAGGTATTTGCAAGCTTCCACAATTTGTAAGATCTAGAAAGCTCCAGTGGTATGTACTGCAGATGGATATTTTTTTTCTAGTTTAGCATTAACACCTTATGATGCAATTTGTATTTATACTTGTTTGTGTGTTGTTTTTTTTTGTTTTTTTTTAGAAGCATGTTGTAACAACAATGGAAGGCAAAATTTATGAAGGAAGAAAATTTGCAGGCAAAAGGGTAAATTAGACTCAATCTTTGCTCTTATCTATGTTTAAACCCTGGACTCTCAACAGTGATGAACATGTAATTTCTCCTTTTGATGACAATGCATTTATGTGGATGGACATAAACGAAAGGCATCTTAAATATATAAACACTACCACGAACGGCGCAGCGAAGTCCCGAAAGACCTACTGAAACGTTTTAGCATTCTGAAAAAGTGTAGTAACAAGTTTGATTGCTTGGTGAACGAAATGCTTTTCATCAGAGACCTAAAACCCACTCTGAACATGCAAAGCAATTCAATTCGCGCAAAAGTATTTGTATAATTTGCTCCTAACACATTTATGCTAATTTAGTGTTACACCTTGCCGCAAACTTTGTAATTTTTATTTCTCCTTGACAATGGCGTCATGATGACACCGAAACGTCAGTTTTTATCGTTGGTTTTTGATTGTCTTTGCATTTCCAAATCTTTATTGATAATGCATTATCCAGAATGTAAATTATGAGAAGAAACAAACTTATTAGCCTGAGGTTGTTATTTTCAGATAACTATCAAACTCTTTGGATTACCATCAAAAGCAAATTTGTAGCATTTAGGAATGTCTATAATCTTTGTGGCCAGGGAAAAGTTGTATGTGAATCAAGTCCCCCATCGAGGTAGAGCTTTCCACAGTTTCTGTAGCATGAAGTCAGCAGAAGTATTAGTATCCCCCACCCCCCCCCACCCCTGCATGGGATGCCAGTCCATTACAGGTTTCCCTCAGTATTACTTCAGGTTTCCATGACACTTCACCAGTACCTATTGACACCTCTTGGTGGATTGAGACACTGTTAGGTGCTGTTAGAGTTAAGTGTCTTGCCCAAAAACACAACAAAAATGACCTGGTCTGGTCTCAACTGCCTTCCGGTTAGCTCATTTGGTTAGAGCGCTGGACTGTTGTGCAGGAGGTCGAGGTCGATGGTTCGAGCCCCGGCCGGACCAACACTTAAGGTCTTAAAATAACTGAGGAGAAGGAGCTACCTTTCTTTAATATCAAGAAATGAATAGACATTCTAGTCTTCTCGGATAAGGACGAATAAACCGTGGGTTCCTTCTCCCGCATCTATTAATTAGTTAATTTGGTTAGGCAGGGGATGTTGAAGAACCCACTCACGAGATTACTGTGATGTGGTCTGGCCTGTTTACTGGGAATTGGGAGGGAGGAGGCATCTTCAAATAAGTTTCCTTCGATTGTTTGTAAACTGCTCATGCAGTCCTGCCAAAGTCCCCCCAAAAGTGTTGTGATGCGCATTTGATCATATCCACGTGTTAATTTGCACAATATAAATATTAAATTATTATTATTGTCAGTTGTTCAAATGCCGATTTACGCTAACCCAAGTTAAATTTTAATCTGGGTTTCTCTATTACTTTGTTCAAAAGCCGTTTGGTGATAATTTTCTATATTCTGTTCAGAGCATCCAATAATCAAATTGTAGACAAAAAGAATTATATTGAATTTTTTTGTTAGAGCTTTCAGGTAAGAAATCAAATTTCACACTAACCCTGGGTTGTCTTAACCCAACTTTGAACGACCTGGCCCTGGTCTCCAACCTGGACCGCTTTACCCAGGGTCCAGTGGGGGATAACTGTTAGGCCTTGGTGACACCTCGAGGGTGAGGAAGCATCTTGATTTAACACACTGTTGTCCTGCTTCTTTGTAGCTGTGTGGTGTATCAATACTGAGGGCAGGTGAAACAATGGAACCAGCCTTAGAATCTCTGTGTAAAGATGTCAGAATAGGAAAGATTCTCATTCAAACGAATGAAATGACATCAGAACCCGAGGTGAGGGTGCTAAGTCATACAAACATCAACTTTCATTTTGCTGTATTACTTTATGGTTTCTAAGCAAATTGGTGAAAGGAGATAGCAGGATTTGCACTTCTTGAGTAATTAAAATTTTTCAAGTTCGACGCAGGGAATAGTTCCTGCTATTTGCGGGCGTGAACGGTCTTCATGAACATGAAAGTTTGCTTGCCAACCGATTAATGTTGATATCTTGTAAAACGTGTAGATTAGATTAATAATATTTAGATTAATTAATAATAATTAAGTGGATGTCAGTACAACTTATGAAGTTTAAAGGTCTAATAAAGTTGTCATTGTTGATGACTGCCGGGAATGACTCTGAAATGACCTGCTGAAAATAACTCACTAAAAATGACCTGCTGAAAATGACCCACTTAAAATAAGATGCTGCAAATGATTCGCTACTAAATGACTCAACAAGAGGGTCTAAGAGATCATTTACTAGGTTGGCAAATTTCACAAGTTAGTCTTTTCCCAAGCTTTATAATTTTCGATTTGGTTTTCTTGAGTAAGTATGGATTGAGTGTCGTAAACCAAAACCAACTGAATTACAACAGCCAGTCCTTTAGTCTTGATTGTAACACGATTGTGACACATATTTCGCCCTTTTGTTTAAAACAAACTCTTTTTTTTTTTTTCAAGCTACATTATCATCGTCTTCCAAAGGGCATAAGTGAAGATCATGTGATACTTATGGACGCTACTGTGGCAACAGGTGCAGCAGGTTCGTGGATATTCCAACCGTATATCATCATTTGTAGTCAACATTTAGTGTGATATTGAGTGGCAATTCAGTCACAAGCTAGAGAATATCTCGCAGAGTTAATCCTTTGACCCCCAGAAGTGATTAACAAGTAACTTCTCCCTATAAGATCCATACAATATCCAGCAAACAGCTAGTGAGAATACTCAAAGTTATCATTTAGAAGTTATTCTGATCTAACATCAAATTATCTTAACTCATTTTGCAAGGAATTGTGTAACGGCTAGAGGGGAGAGTTAACAACCAAATCTTGGGGATTAAAGAGTGCTCACTCTTCTTACAAGATTTGTTTTCTTTTTACAGCGCTCATGGCCATCCGAGTTTTATTGGTAAGCGGAGGAATCAAAGTAAAGTTAAGCCACATGCGCAATGGGACTTATTGTAGGAAGGAATTAAACACGAAGGCGCGCCATATAAGGAAGTCTTCCCTGGGAAGACCTAGGCTCATTTGTCACTCACCGTTGACGTGCGCGGGTCAAATTTAAATGCTGGTAGACGAACAAAAGGAGCTAATGAGATATCTATTGTTTACTTCTACCAGCATGGTGGCATGAGGTAACGTGCGAACCACCTACTTCCATCTCAAATTTACCGCCACAAATAAAGACAGTTTCCATTGGAGAAAGGAAATACAAATCTCAAAAATTCTTGTATTGTGATGAAAACATAAAACAATTTTGAGGAATGCGCCCGCTGTTCACTGCTCTGGAGTAGCTGAAGCTCAAGCTGACTTGACTCTGAGAGTTCTACATCTCACGACGGTTGATTGACAAATGGTCCAGTGGAACCTGAGGCTCCTTTTATAGCCGCCTTCGTGTTTAAGATAAGACTTAGACATGTTGAGTAACATGAAACTTGCATAAATTTTACAATTTCGCGATTAAGTTATTTAGTTTTTCTTTATAGTTTGGCACCAACAATCCATGTAAGTCTTCTCCGCTTGTAGTTAAAATAGTCTGGAGTGTTTCTCCTCTATTATCACAGCTCAGTTCGTACGCGCGCTTTGATTGGTCAATTTAGCGGGCTATATCTCATCGTACGGGCTACTAAATTCGAAAGTTTGTTTGGGTTGAAATCTCCTCTCTCTATTTGAACCTACAGAACTTAATTTTCTCGGTCCGTACTTTAAGTTATGGAACTTCATTTTTTCCACTCAGATTTATAGCCCCGGCGCTTTGCGCTTGGGCCCTAAATCCGAGCGCGAATAACTCTCTCCGTAACTTAAATATGGACCTCACACTCGGTCAGTAAGAGGTATGTGTTTTTTCCAATGCTTACATTTTGTAGTTTTCTTCAATTCGACTATAGTTTGGGGTGATATTGAACTTCTAGAACGTGCACCTTGACTCAGCTACAGTGATATCCTCATAGGCTCAGCTTTATGAATGTCATAAACAGTAATCCCCGAGCCATTTTTGGCAGAATTTCAGCATAGACTAGTTCCTATTAGACATGAAACTGCAGCTTAAACATTTCATTGATATCAATAACACCAATCTTACAGGACCATGATGTTAAAGAGGAGAATATTCTGTTCTTGTCTTTGATAACTGCTGAACCAGGTATGTTAACTTGTTAAATTTATGTAGTCTACATTCAATAGCCAGTGTAACTTATTAACACATAACTTTCTATCTTTTCTTCATCTTTTTTTTTAAACGATAAAAGGGGAGAAACAGATGTAACGAAAAACTGTCATTCAATAGATCCGGGAAACGGATTCTGAAAACTCTGTACAGCCTTTTGAAGCCAGGCCTAAAAACAGGTAGAGATCGTAGTTGGCCAAGTCGGATATGGAGCATGTTCAATTTTGGTCTAATTTAGTTTTTGGTTCGGAAGGACAAGATAACACTGCCGTGCCAAAGAGTTGTCATGTGGGTACCCCACCCTGAAGTGTGATGCGCAAGCTATCTGAAAGATGAGGTTCAGACTCGGATACTAACAATAATTTTTTAAAACATAGAAGGCGGTAACGGCCTATGTGCTATTTTGGGACATAACACTTCAATGTTGGGGGGGGTAGCAAATGATAGGGAAGGGGAGGGAAAGGTTTGGGTATCGTGGGGTGGACGCACAAGGGCTACAACGGTACTGATGAGTTATCTGGTTCTTCAAAACACAAGTTTGGAGTGTACTTACCATTTTTACCTTACTTCTATACAGAATAGTAGCCAGGGAGGGAGGGGGGGAGAGGACGTTTTTGTGTATGGGAATAAGACGGTTCAGTTGTTTTGTTTCAGGTGTTCACACGATAGCTTATGCATACCCAAAGGTTAAGATAGTCACGGCAGCAGTGGACCCAGAGGTCAACGATAAATATCACATCATACCAGGAATAGGTGAGTTACACCTACTGACTAACTTCTCCCTAACTTCTCCCTATCTTTCAAATAATATTATCAAACAGAAAGGTATTGAGAGTACAGGTACTTATCAGTCAGAGGGTGTTCTAATGATGTGAAGCTAAATTCTTGTAATTTGTTCATAAGGAT